TATTATGTCTCAATTGCAAAAGCTATTTTCGCAAAAATGACATTTTAAAAAGTTAAATTTGAACAACTCACTGATGTCCAATCTGATTGAAATGAGAGCAAAGTTACGTTCAGTTTATTTTTTAATATATACACCTCAGTTAGGGTCTTAAGACTGCCCTCTAGAACAATCATCTGTTTGATGATACTGCTAGCCAATCAGATTTCTGCCCTCTCCAACACTGGTATTCATTGGCCCCGTGTGCTACAGGCTGTGCACGTTAATGATCCCTTGGCAGTTGGAAATAAAAAAAGAGCAGGCTAATACCGCTGTCCTGGCAAAATTTCCCTTTTCTTCAATAGCCCACATGGTGCAGAAAAGTAGGATGTAAAACTCCATTCATTTCATCTGGAGCATGAATGTAGAGATATTATTTTATTTTATTTCATTTGTAAAATATGTAAATTATTCGTATTGATTATTCATAAAATATTTGTTATCATTCAGACAATTTATAATCATGATTTAAATTGATCATATTGTTTTGTTATAGTTTGTTATATAATTATGTGATTATTGTGGGACTTTGCTTTCAGCAAAGTCCCAGTTTGTTATCGAAATGTCAACCCTTTTTTTTTTTTCGTTTCGTCCACAACTTCCTGTGCTTAGACTGCAGTAGTTGCAGCTACGTTTCAAATTTCATAGACCTTCTATATAGGTGACGATGTGCATAAATATAAATTGGAACATTTTTGCAAAACCGGAAGTGCCACAGTTCAACATGTGCAAAAAGTCCAAAATCGGCTCTAGAAGGCGTATTTTTGCATCGATTTTTTCCGGGTTTTCATTTTTACAATCTACCTGTAATTTCTGACCTGATAGCACTTGAAAAAATTACGAAATTCGAAAATTCGTCGCTCACTTTTTTCGATCAAATTTTTCAATTTTTTTGCAACTTTTTTGTTTTTGCATTGGTTGATCTGAAATTTAATATGCAAAGGGGCATCACTAAAGCAAATAATATGTAGTTGTCAAATATTTAACTTTACTTCCGGTTTTAAACGGGGAATCAATTGAAAGTACAATCCACTTCCGGTCGAATAACTTCCGGTGTATTTGTAATAGGTCAACGAAATTTATGCTGATCGTAAGTAAATGCTATTACAAAAAAACGAAGAAAATAAAATCCAGACCGGAAGTGATACTTTTGCCGCCATATTGAAAAAACACACTTTTGTAAAACTCAAAATGGGGCCTCAGGGTAAATGTTGATATGCTCAAATTTGATGTGAATGTATTCAGCAATCGATTGCGCAAAAAACATTGGGAGCCGAATTTTGAATTTCGCTTTTGCTTTTTTGCAACTTCCGGTTGAAATTTTTTAAAGCTTTAAATGATCACACTATGTGACCTTGACCTTTGATGACCTTGACCTTCATAGGGTCAAAGGTCATTGACCTTGTCTATCATTTGATACTTTGACCTTTGACCTCCTACATGTACTTCCAGTTTTATAGCTATCCGTAAAAAGCCAAATTCGCAACTTTGGACTGCTCTAGCACGTGACCTAATTAACCTAGAGGGTTATTTTTTTTGGTTTCCTAATGTTCTTCTCGTGTACTTTACATAGATATAGAACAATTGCTTTTTTAAAGCAAAATTGAAATTGGTGATTTATTCAAATTTGAGGCTTTTTTTACAATATTTGAGTCTTTTTGAGCTTGGTGTATGTATATCTTATGATCTATTTGATGTAGAACCTTGATATTTGGAATACAACTAGACACTTTGAATATGAATTCACCTATGACAAAAAAACTTATGTGGGCGTGGCACATCCGGGTTGAATTACTAATTGTTTACATTTTGGGGCTGGGGCATAACTCGCATAGGATACGTTTGTTCAAAAAGAGACTTTGCACACAATTACCTCATCCTTTTAGCCAGTTTGTATTAACAGCTCAGTTGTTTCAGCTTTATAGTTTCAAAAAAGGAACGGGTTTTAACATTTGGATATTTTCATTTTTCGATTTTGACCTTTGTTGACTTTTGTTGACCTATATCTTTTGACCTCTATTATGTAGGACCTTGAGATTTGGAATATAACGTAACATTTTGAATATTAATTAACCTATTCAAAAAAAATTGAGGTGGGCGTGGCACTTCCGGGTTAAATTTCTCATTATTGACATTTTTGGCCAGGGGCATAACTCGCAAAGTATATATTTATTCAAAATGGAACTTTGGACACAATTACCTCAAATTTTGAGCCACTTTGTCTTAGAATTTCAATTGTTTTTGCTTCATAGTTCAAAAAAAGGAAAAGGTTTTGGAAATTCAAAATTTTCAATTTTTAACCTTGACCTTTGTTGACCTTGACCTTTGTAGGATCAAACGTCATTGGCATTGGCTATCTATTTATACTTTGATATTTGCTGTCCTATGTCAATTTCCGGTTTTATAGTCGTTAGCAATTTGAAATTTTTATGGCGTATGCCTCTTGATCTTGACCTTTTTAGACCTTCTCCTTTACAGGATCAAAGGTCATTGACCTTGGCTATCTGCTGATACTTTCATTTGTGAGGTCTGACGTCCACTTCCAGTATTAGAATCTTCTAAAAAAATGAAAATTTCTCAACTTTACACTGTTCTTGCGCTTGATCTAATTATCGTCGAAGGTTGATTTTTTCAGGGTCTTTTGCATTTTGCAACATTTGCAAAGTCCCACTCTGTGCCACGAGTGGCTCTAGTTTTATAATTGTTATGCAGATGTTATATCATGCTCATGTCTTTCTATGGCATTATTATGAAGAAATTGCTTATATGACCTTTTTCAGTTATCTGTGTCACTTCAGAATTAAAATCATACATTAACATAACATTTTCACTGTTGAAATATGAAATAGTGCTCAATACATGTTTCAGGTTCTTTTCTGATATTTCGAACAAAATCATACTGTGAAATACTTTTTTATCACTTGACATATATTTATACTCCACATATTATTTTTTTAATGTCAGATTTTTATTTTGACAAATGATACAGATAGCTCAGTTTGTACCATCTGGTATTCTAATATATAGACTAGTATATCACACAAGTGTACAACATGAAACTTTTTCAAAAATAAAAATTGATCTTATTCATTAAATTTTATGAAAATGAATAAAATAGCAAATTGTATTTATATATAACACAGAATATGTAACACCTGATTTACTCAATATAAGCTTACAATATTTGATTCTGATAAAATCTGTAAAATAGTCATTCTTAGAGCAGGTGACACAATTAAATATTACTGTGGCTAATATTTTGTCTTGCCTGTTAAATTTTTCAAAAGTAAATTTGCTTTGACATTTTTTTTTAGTAGGTTAACATGCTTTAATTGCAGATGAACCAGAATTTGAATTTTCATTCTTATAAGTGCTCGAGTTAGGTCAAATTGAGCTCTTTCTGCCAAGACTAACTAGTCAAATGGCTGTCTCCAATTTACTTTCTGTGGTCAAATCACAAAGCTTTGCTGGTTCTCCAGCCACCCCAGGGTCTCAAGAGGGGGACCTCAACTACGTGACTCGACAAGACATCTCAAAATGGCCCACAAAAAATGATATCAGCAAGCATTCTATGATATTAATTTATTTCAATTCAGAAAACAATTGCAAGAATAACAAATCTATAAGAAAATTAATATGATCTTTTTATTTGTGGTTTCCACCCCAATTCACCAGAAATCATGGTTTTTAATATATAGGGCCAAACCAATTATTTTTTTTTCATAAAAAACAACATTCCTATCCCAACCCTTTCTGTACATCCCCTTGCATCTCCTGTTGAAGTTCAGCAAAATAAGTTTGGTTTGGCCTAATCACTTAGAAATTAAAAAAAAATATATTCAAATATTCATGATATCACATTAAACCAAAACCAAACGAAGACAAAAACAACATGATCTAACAACATGATCTGCAAAACGTGTCAAAATATTAGTACTGCAGTGATTCACTGATGAATCGAGATTCTTTCTCATTGATGTATTGTATTGGATAAAAATAACGGCGATGTACCGGCACGATTTTTTATTTAACATATTAGTCCCCTTTAATAAAAAAAAAAAAACACCACAGAGTCTTCATATGTATAAGAAACTGTGTCAAGTATTGATTTTAAGTTTTAATCAAAATTTGTAAAATTTCTGACTTCAAAAAATAGAGAAATTTCTTTCACAATTTTGTACTTCTAAAAGTTCTCAGAGTCAAAATTTAAAAATTTCTATTTTTTCACTTGCCTTACATAATAAATGAATCACAATTATTATAACCATAAATCGTATCATTTGATGAGTTGTTTTGAGTATTGAATCGCAAATTCAAGAATCTTTGTAGCCCTACGAAATATAATCTTTAACTAAATAAGTTCCTGTTATTCAAGCTCTTAATTAATCTAGAACCTCGAAAGATTTATTTTGACAAGTTTTGCAGAATAGGTAAGGTGCGGACACACAAATGGTCTTGGTCGTCAACTTTTCTCGCTGACTTAACTCTCGCCTGTCCCTGTACTTTCACGACAAGATCTATAATATCAAACAATTGTCTCTGATAATTTTATCGTCTGCAAGACAGACCGTCATCATCCAATCAGATTCATTTTCCTTTCAATTGCATGCTCTGCACATGATTATTGAAATGGTGGAAAATGACCGACTGGAGGTTCTTGTCTCCTCATATGACTGTGTGGTCTGTGAAACCCTTGACAAGACTCTGATCGCTGACAAAAATCCGACCAAGACTGTTTGTGTGCCCGTACCTGAAAACAGCGCAATAGACTATCTAAATACAAAATATAGTCAGGTGAAAAAAATGTAACAAAATGTACATCCTATTTATGATCACAGTATAACAAATAATAATAATAATATAACAAAATAGATTCTTTATAAATTGTACATCAGCTATTGTACAGTCAACATGTACAAAAATTTACCTTTAAAGTAATATCAAGCTCTATTTAAATTTTTCTGAATTGGACTTGCCAAAAGTAAATATTTCATGAAAGGCATTTTTGTTTTGCACATGCTCCGTGTTTTTTTTTTTTAAATACATGCAAAATCTGCATGCAAATTTATTACTTAAATAAAAGGCAAATTTATCTGAAATTTGAATCTGAATATGGTTACCTCATGAAATGCACCAACAATTTGATCCCAAGATCTATAGAAATAAACATCACCCAAAAAAAGTTCACAAGATTTTGCGAAATAATTAGCACACATAAATTTTTTTCTCAAAAACTCGCAGCCGAAAGCATGTGCATTGGCATTAGTTACTTGTGGATAGATGGGTGTGATAAATGGTGATGACATGCTTTAAGTAAAAAGTTTTTTAAAACTTAATATTTGTATTGGGGGACATTAATAGCATCGATTTACTCCATTCCAATTTTCAATCCTGAAGAATTCAGTGGTTCTTACAATTCCACTAGATCTAAGTGTTAAATGACCTAAATATCAAGATATTAAGATCATATGAGCAACTTTTGCCATTGGTATGCCATACCTGAAAGGTTAATAATCTCTGTAATTACAGGAACCAGAAACACATGACCGAAAATTGGAATGATGCAGAAGGCCTGATAAACAGATAAAAAAACTAGAAAACCTCTTTACAATTTCTTCAGGATTACAGATGACTCTTTGTCCTATTTGACAAAGAATTTTGATATTTTCGAAAAATGAACAACAAAAAGCAGCTGACCCTTAGATTATAAGAAAAAAATACATACTGTTGCAATCCGGGATGTTGATTTGCCAGTTTTACCTGACATTAACTATGAAACCTCTGACAATGAATGTTGACAAAAATGAAGCCTTGATAGCACTAGTTACTATAAAATAACAGTTTTTTGTCATCAACCAACAGACCTACTGGGTAATTGCAACATAAGCATATTAAGCTAAAACTACACAATCTGTACTGTATATAGTTCTAGTAAACACCCTAACTCCAAACATGTACTGAATGTGCTTTCATGTAGAACATTAAAGGGATTGTAAAGAGGTTTTGAAATTTGTTTATGTGTATCAGGGACACTGATAACATCAGTTTGCGCAATTCCGATTTCAATCAGATGTCTGTGGTTCCTGCAGTTCCACGTAAATGACGTCACTTATCACAAAATATGCTTTACGGTCTTCACCATTAATGACCTTGTCTAACACTTGGTTTTAGTTGCATGCTATCAATGTCCTTATACACATAAAAAATTTAGAAAACCTCCTTACAATCCCTTTAAACTTATGTTTTGAGTTTATTTAAAGATATGGTCCCAGATGCCTAAAATTAAAATTAGTAAAACCAATATACCGGTACCTTAATAAATCTTCCAAAATTCATCAAATCAAAACAGATGTTTTTTAATCATTTCAAATGTAGTTAAAGCCAACTGTTTCCAAAACAATTTTTAACTTAAAACTGGTTTCTGTTTGTACCGTACCATAACTTTAAACAAATAAGGGTCAATGACCTCTGATACAACATAGTTTAAATGCCTACCTTGCAAAAATTACAGAGCCAATTTTCCCCGAAAAAAATTTAAAAAAAAAAAAAGAGAATCACAGATCGTCAGGAAATTCAGTCCAATTCTTTCCAAAATATCATTCCAAGAACTTTCCAAGTTGAGATGTAAAAACTTGCTGGTTAACTAAAAAAAATTCTGATGCCTGTGCTTCCGAGAGTCGGCCCTGGGTAGGCTTTCACCACATAATACCCAATATTCCAAAGCTACCAGTATAAGGAAAAAGAAGTGGTTTGTTAAAGAGTTATTGCACTGGTAAAGTCATGTTGTTTTTACATCCAATTTAAAGTTCCTAAATTAACTATCCAACAATCTTTAGTCTGAGGTGAAGTCTTTAATGAGCTGGAGGTGCAGGGGGAGGAGGTGGTGGAGGGTTTGAATCACTTGGTCTGCTGGGTTTTCCATCACCACGGTTACGTAGACTAGATGGTCTGAATAGAAATAAGGCTGTGGCAACCACCAACCAACCAATCATCATCATAGCTATCATATTGTAACCACCGTTAGGCATGGTCGTTTCACCAGGTAGAGATTCGATGCATTGTGTGTCTGTACAAACATTTTGAGAATTGCGTAACATGTTCATCAGACGCTGCATTGCTGTTTCATGATTCCAGATGCACTCGCAAGGATCAAAGTCAGACATCTTGACAATTGGTTTCTATATCTGAAAAGTGCCAAGACAAAAGTTTCAATAAGTCATTAACCTTGAATGCTAGGCAAGAATAAGCTAAAGCTTACATGTCAAATCATTTACAAAATTTTGTGAGAAAATTCATCTAAACACAGCAAGTTGTCTACATTGTATTGGACTGGAGAACTCGTCTGCAAAAGTGATAGGATTTCAGATCTGATATTGTGACCTTTTACAAACTACTAAGAGCGACCTAAAGGAACAGATTTTTGGCCAATCATAGCCTACCTTAGTCTCGATTTTTTTTTAGCTTAGCCAATTAGTAATAGTGTTCACAGCTCATTGTTGAAATCTGAGCCTTCAAATCAGAATTATCTACATTAGAAAGTTAAAAAGATGAGTTGTCGCATCAATTGCATAATTCCTTCAAAAATATCTCAAACTAGGAATTTCTTTTCCTATATCTTTTTGGTCTTTTCTATTTGGCAGTGTCTCAAAAAAAGACGACTCGTCTTTTTAACCTTCAAATGTGGGCAATTCTGGACACACATGGATTTGGAGGTTCAAATTTCTACAGTAAGTTGTGAACACTATTACTGATTAGCTCAGCTTCAAAATTTCCGTTTCTGAGACTAAAGTACCAATGGTAAAAAAAATGGTGCATCTGTCACTTTACAGTTAATTCGATAAATTATTGAATAATTGAATGATAGCTGTTTTCATTATAATCACCATTAGGCCTCTAGTTGTTATCATCTTGTAGTTATTCACTAAGTTTGGTGGATGACCTTCTCCACTTCAAAGGGAAATTGCACTAGACTTAGATTCTATTGCAGGTCCTTAGTCTTCAAAAAAAGGGACCAATTGCCAATTTTCATTCGCCATTTAAATTATATTATCCCTATCCAACCAATCATCGTATAAAATTATTGTGTTGACATTCTTATGAATTTATGTAACCCAATCCGTCAATGCCAGATCTTACCCTTATCCTTCGTTTCCGTATTACAAACAACTATAAAGTGGCAAGAACATGATGAAAGATTATACCTACACGTCTAAATTAAACCAATATATTAATTGTCAATTTCTTCCAACAGAATTTGACAACAGCGGAAGTTATTGCTTGTGTATGATGAGTCTAGCACATCCAGCCGTGAATTTGACAATGGAAATTATGAAAACTAATGTCCGTCTTGACAATCTTGTCTTTGTTTTGTTGAAGAGCCACGTCAGATTGAAATAAAAACCTGCGCACGCAGAGAGCAGGTATTTCATCACGTGACGAATGTCCAAGTTTAATTTTTTTCCGAAAAATCATTGTAAAAAAATAATGATTACTCTGTTAACCTGCCCTACTAATCAGACCAGTAGCCTAAACGAAAGTAACAAGGCACAACAATATTTTTCGTTCCCTCGATTTAACCAATTTTGCAAAATGTACGAAACCTATGGAGTAGACTCAGTTTCCCAGTGACGCATAAACATGCCTGCAGAAGGTTTTCGGTCTGGATAACAAGTACGAAACGATCCATTTCCTGTAGTTGAACTTGAATGCTTGAACGAATGACAAAAATAACGTGCATATTATCATGTCAAGGTAGAAATTCTGTCATGAGTCTCACTCTCACTCATATTTTATGACTACCCACTAGAATAGAATATATGGGAATTCGGTTGTTGGGCACTTGGAAACTGTTTCAGAGATGACATTGGCACTTAGTTCTAAGCGTCAAAGGGCCTACTGACACTGTAGTCCGAAACATCTGCCTCTATTCCAGCCTCTGATGGATATTTTGACAGTTGTCAGCTGGAGTAGAGTCAGAAGAAAGAGACACTGTTAAATCTTCCTAAATATACGTGAGTTTTGCAGATCCGAGGTATCTAAATAGGTTTAAAACCCCTGAGATGCGAAATGTCCCCATTTAAAAGGACCTATTTTTTCTGTCTCTACACATCTGTCCAAATAGCTATCAGAGACTTGAATAGAGACAGATGTTTTGGTCCAGGGCTTACTGACACTGTAACTGTGGGTAGCAACTGTCTAGAGTCTGAAACAACTGACCCTTCTCCAGCCAATAACTTTCAAAATAGCTATTAAAAGCTATTTATGAGACACTCTTATCAACTACATTACAAAATATTAGTTACAAAGTATGATACATTGATAAAATGTTAATTTGCCCCCTTTACCTTCATCGATCGTGATACATATCTTATTGTGACATTGTGATACACATCGTATCGTGACTTGATTGGCACTAATCTCATTATATGATTGTTGTAATAATTTTTTCTTAATTTATTGCAATCATTGTGAATATTTGTTTTTTCAGGAAAATTGCTTTTCGAGGACAGGATATTTTCAGGATTATGATCAACAGGCTGCCATGGCATATTGGAACTGAAGACTTATTTTCGCATTTCAGACCTTATGGTCCCATTCAAAATGCTTATGTGCCTTTTGACAAGACAACAGGATTTCATAAGGGATATGGATTTATAACATTTAGTAATTTCAGATCTGCTGAGAAGGCATTGCTCCAGGAACATATTTTAGGCAATAAGAAACTGAGGGTGACTACTGCACTTAAAAGAAAATAAACTTAACTTCTGTAGAGACACAAGCTGAAATAGGCACAGCATGAATCAACATGTTCCAGGTTCTGTTTTGATATTTGTATACTGTTATGTATTGAGAAGTATTTTAACTGTGAAAATATTTCGTTATTGTAAATCCTACCTTGTATAACAGTCTAATTAAAATTAGACCAAACTTTCGTTCCATTTCTTATTAGCTTTTATTTCTAATATAGCCCCTTCAGTTAGGATCTAAAGACATTCTTCAAAAAAACCTTTTAACCTAACCCTGGTTTAACCTCAAATCCTGCACTCTCAAGCGTTAAAATTTTCAGAGAGATTGAAGGAATTTGATTGGTTAAAGCAGATGTCATCAGATAAGGTCAAAAGGTTATTTAAACGAATGGCTACATTAAAAATAATAATATGCCATATCCTTATAATGAAGAGCTAAAAATATGGATTTGATTTTTATAAATGTAAAAATTCAATGTTTATCATAATATGTTCATACTTTAATTTAGAGTTAATTATTTCACAAATTCATTCAAACTAGAAACTGAATATATGCTTAAAATTGAAAATCTGCCCACTTTAGAATAATGTTACTACCATGAAAAAATGACAAAACTGACATTTCATATATGGCTGTCCCTGAGGAAGGGAACTTTTTCCTCATGACCATATGCAGTTTTTGGTAAAAGAAAATTCCTGCATTTAGCACCAAATCAGCATCTTTGTATTAAAAAAAAAACACTCGTTATAAACGGTTAAAGGGACAGATTGGCCATCCATTTGACCAATCGTAACTTGGTCTCAGTAATAGTGTTCACAGTTCACCGTGGATATTTGAGCCTTTAAATCCATGTGTTTCCAAAATTATCTGTGTTAAAAAAGTTAGCTCGTCTTTTTTGAGACTGCCATATGTAGAAAAGACATCTAAAGAAATAGATAAATTCCTAGTTATATTTGAAGGAACTATGCGATTTTCATACAACTCCAGTACTTCTGAAGACTTTTTAAATATATTAACAATCCCAATCAATCCCCCTAAATGGCAAACCTAAAAATATCAATTAATAGTAGCAAGAAATAACTGATAGTAAATATCTGTTACTCGCCTGCAGCCTTATTCTCCAAAACTTAACTTAATAGATAAAATACATATTTTAAAGAATACAATAATCTGATTGAATAAAAAAAAACTAAAGTTTAAATAGATTTTAGTGGTTGACCAATTAGATGAATGGAACACTGAAATCATCCTAAGATAAACTTTTGATAATAAGGCCCCAGTATCAGTCAGCTGATTGCTGATGAATTGTTCTCAGTTAATCACAACCTCATCTGTAACTGGTACTTTACATTTTTGATATAAATCAGTCAGCTGATTGCCGATGAATTGATCTCAGTTTATCACAATGCTGATGTGTAACTGGTGCTTCACATTTTGGTATAAATGGGTCAGCTGATTGCTGATGAATTGATCTCAGTTAATCACAACCTCATCTGTAACTGGTACTTTACATTTTGGTATAAATCAGTCAGCTGATTGCTGATGAATTGATCTCAGTTTATCATAATGCTGATGTGTAACTGGTACTTTACATTTTGTATAAATCAGTCAGCTGATTGCTGATGAATTGATCTCAGCTAATCTCAACCTCATCTGTAACTGGTACTTTACATTTTGGTATAAATCAGTCAACTGATTGCTGATGAATTGATCTCAGTTTATCACAATGCTGATGTGTAACTGGTACTTCACATTTTGGTATAAATGAGTCAGCTGATTGTTGATGAATTGATCTCAGTTTATCACAATGCTGATGTGTAACTGGTACTTTACATTTTGGTATAAATCAGTCAGCGGATTGCTGATGAATTGATCTCAGTTAATCTCAACCTCATCTGTAACTGGTACTTTACATTTTGGTATAAATCAGTCAGCTGATTGCTGATGAATTGATCTCAGTTAATCTCAACCTCATCTGTAACTGGTACTTTACATTTTGGTATAAATCAGTCAGCTGATTGCTGATCAATTGATCTCAGTTAATCACAACCTCATCTGTAACTGGTACTTTACATTTTTGTATAAATCAGTCAACTGATTGCTGATGAATTGATCTCAGTTTATCACAATGCTGATGTGTAACTGGTACTTCACATTTTGGTATAAATGAGTCAGCTGATTGCTGATGAATTGATCTCAGTTAATCACAACCTCATCTGTAACTGGTACTTTACATTTTGGTATAAATAAGTCAGCTGATTGCTGATGAATTGATCTCAGTTAATCACAACCTCATCTGTAACTGGTACTTTACATTTTGGTATAAATCAGTCAACTGATTGCTGATGAATTGATCTCAGTTTATCATAATGCTGATGTGTAACTGGTACTTTACGTTTTGGCATAAATCAGTCAGCTGATTGCTGATGAATTGATCTCAGTTTATCACAATGCTGATGTGTAACCAGTTCCTCATAATCTTTCTATACTTAAATTCATTGCCGGTTCTGGGACCATGGTCAAATTTTGTACTCTTCGGAATTTATAATCAGGAATTTTTTTGAATCGGAACTTTCTAAGTAATAGAATCAGCACTGTCTGCATTTCCGCCATAGCAAATCTTTTACCAATACACATCAATGGTCCTGCTGCAAAAGGCATAAATTTATTTATATCTGTATCTTCAAGAAACCGCTCTGGAATAAATTTTTCCGGATCTTTCCAATTGTCAGGATGTCTGAAATATTAAATATCATTAAATTACAATTCAATCTCAGAATATCTGATATCAGAAAAATTGAGTTCAGTTTATAATTGATATCAGGTGTAGAGTATATTACATTTGATATCGGGTTCAGGTGTAGAGTATATTACATTTGATATCAGGTTCAGGTGTAGAGTATATCACATTTGATATCAGATTCAGAATATATTACATTACATGTCTGAAATCGAGTAAAGAACTTGACCTACCTATGAAGACCACTAATACTTAGACCAATAATAGTACCAGCTGGTATACTATAACCATTGATTATATCATCATTTATAGCTTGACGGAAATATGTTGTTACAGGAGGATATAACCTAATAAGTAATTAAATTATTAACCATTTTCGTTATATAAAGGACAACAGGCATATTATATTATATATTTATATCAAATTCTATATAGATTTACACATTTAGTTTAGTAGAATTGCAAGAACCACAGACATCTGACTGAAAATTGGAAAGGTGAAAATCAGTGTCCCTGATACACATAAAAAGTTAAGAAAATCTCTTTACAGTCCCTTTAAATACTGTGATATCCACTGATGAATAACAATATTGAAATATACTGACCGTAAGGATTCATTAATTACACAAGTTAAGTAGGGTAACTCATCAAATTTATTAGGATGGACTTCACTTCCGTTAACTGGGAAGACACTGAGAATTTCCTCTCTGACTTTTTCTTGTACGTCTGGATGTTCAGATAAATTCAATAAAATCCAAGTAAGTGAGCTACTGGTAGTCTAAAATATAATAGGGTTTACACTTTGAATTAAAAAAAGAGGCTTTTTCAGTGGTTGATTTAAACCTTCAATGCATGTATATGGTTAATCACATATGCTTTAAAATATGCCTCAAACTGGAAATAACATTAAATTTCATCTAAATCCGTCAAGAATTGCACCTTCTAGACTGTTTACAAGCATTTTAAGAACAAGGGCAATAACTCATAGGCCTACTACATATTTTTCGATTTTTCTGATTTTCAATAGGATTCATCCTTGAGTGATTACAAACAATTAAACCAAGTTTCATCAAAATCTGTCAAGAACTCTGCCATCTAGAGTGTTTATAAGAAACTGTGGACGGATTGACGGACATGGGTGACGATTTCATGTGGGCGTATAAAAATGGCTAAAATTTCAATGACAAACTGTAAACATAACATATACTTTGCCGATAAAGCTCTTGTCCAACAGAAAATGATTTACCTCAAAACCAGCAAAAAGAAAGCCAGCAGTATTATGTAATATGACATCATCAGGTAGCTGAGTATTGGTCTCATCTCTAGCTTTTAATAATAATGATAACAAATCATCTTTGTCTTTACCATCTCCTAGAAAAAATCAGTATCAAAAATTTGAAGGGGCAGTATGTAAAATAAGCATTATCAAAAACGTTGTAAATTATGCCTGAAGATATCATTAAAATAATATATCTATGGATTTACTTGATCAAACACCTCCCACAAGCATAACGAACTTAAAAAGATTCTGTAAGCGTAAGTAATTTTAGCATGTAAAATTTACACCACAAAAATAATTTACATAAAATTACAGCCACATGGGTAAAATGTCCCAATATTGCGACGGTGGTAGTTAAAGGGTTAAATGGCTGTCAACTAAGTTGGTTATCTAATTCTGGTAACTAGGGTTGCACTCTCTTAGAGAGTTCTTAACACTGACCTTTATTTCCTGTTTTCAATAAATTCTCCTTCTTTCTGTTACAAACGGTTTTAATAGTCCTCCAGAAAAACTCATTATCTTGTTTCTTCTGTATGTTAGCTTGAAATGGTAGTCTATTTATCAATGGTATCATTTGTACCAGTCTGAAAAATACAAGAAAATTTAAGCCATGTGAGCTATAGATGGTGCTCTTGTAGATTAATACTGTTGTCTTGGTAGATTTCCCTCATTGCCCACTACTTGTCATTGCTGTCTTTATAATCCTAATCTATTAGCATATAAAAGTGACTGCAGAATGGTGCTTGTCTTAGTTTTTAAGATAGCTTGCCAGACAAGGAAATACCAAGTTTCATCTTTATGTCAATAATTGTGCTATCTAGAGTGTTTACGAGCTAAACATTGAACACATTTCTTTAACAAGGGCAATAACTCATTTAAATATTTTTTTAATTTGCTTTAGTTTTCAGTAATCCTTGGTTGATAATAATCAATTTCCCCACAATTTATAGAAATTTTTGAAAGAATTGTGAGCTAAAATTGTTTTCATAAACAAGGGCAATAACTCTTAATATTTTTCAATTTTTCTGATTTTCGATAGGGTTCATCCTTGGGTGATAAATAACACACCAAGTTTCGTCAAAAGTCGAAAAGAATTGGCCTTCTAGAGTGTTTACAAGTAATTGTGGACAGAACGACAGATGGACTGACAGACGAACATGGGTGACGCCTATACACTCCAAATTACCAGAGATTTTAAGGGATAACAAAGACCAACAACTCTGTATTAGTAATTGATATTAATGTACCTTATTCTAAAATCTTTTAATATTCTTCTAAAACACTGTACACCAACTTCATCTGGAGTCTGTAGAGAATTTATTTGATATCCAAACCCACATTCACATATAGCATCTAATGTCTACAATTATACAAGTGTTTGGCAACTATGTTATAGTGTGCACCTGGTTAAGTAGTTTATGACCACCCATTTGGAACACCTGCTACCACTCTTAAACTGGCATTCTATTCAGGGAGTCCACAGAGTTTATAATATTTTGTATATTTCTTACAGCATCTTTAATGAAAACCTTCCAATCAGTCTGTTGTTCCAGCAATTCCACTTAAACTAAGTGTATGATGACGTCACTAATTGCAAAATATACTTTAATTATAACATAAGGGCCTTTGCGATTAGTGACGTCATCAAATTCTTCGTTTTAGTGGAATTGCCTCAACAAAATTTGAAAAGGATGATATCAGTTTCCCTGATTCACATACAATTTTTAGAAAACCTCTTTACAATCCTTTTAAAAACCATTTGATTTTCTCTCTCTTCAGCTTCTTTCTCTTTTTTAAGATATTACAGATGATATAGGTAGTTTAACTTACCAATCTAGACATATAGTTCTGTACTTCTAATATACAGGAATCTTGTGATGCCAACTGATTATCCCAATCATCTAACATTTCATTGGTAAGTCGACTAAATGTATCACAGAATGCTGAAAAAAATATTTCCTTTAAAGACATGGTTTGGTTCTTGCAAAATGTGGCACATATTGAAAATTTAACCCCCAAAAAATCTATCTGCCAGCTATATACCATGCTTTGGGAATACATGTGTATATGGCATGCATGGAGGATACATGTGTATATGCCATGCATGGAGGATACATGTGTATATGCCATGCATGGAGGATACATGTGTATATGCCATGCATGGAGGATACATGTGTATTCGAATAAATATACAGGAATCCAATACCTGAAAATTCATTCGATGAGCAGCTATGATGATTTTAGTGTCAGGCAGGGTATGCTTACTCTTCTAGACAACTAATACTTCCTCAAGTGAAAAGTTCATTAGCTGCTATCAATGTTTTGCCAGTATGTTGTTTGGATTTCAGGTCTCAGTTTTCAGTTTGACATTGATTTAACTATAATAAAGGAATAACTTAAAAGTCCCCCAGAATAAGAATGAAACAAATTATCTCTGGCTGTATTTAAATCTAATTGTATTAATTTCTTACTATCTACTACTATTCTTCCAAATGTAGGATTTAATAACTTTTTTAATGATTTGTGTTCTTCTCCCCTTGTACTTAGAATAAATCTGGGAAATCTTGATCTGACTGGTCTAAAATTCATACAAAAAAACAAAACAATATTACACTTTTTCTTTTGAAGCTTCATGCTTATAGTCCAAAACATCTGCCTCTGAGCTATTTTCACAGTGAAGTTGTTGGCTGGTGCATTCAAAGTAAACATATGAGTGTAAGGAAACCTGCACCTAAAGAGATGTGGAAAATCCTCATAAAACAGAGCCTAGTTTTTCTGGCCCTACTCCAGCCAACAAATTTCACAATAGTTGAAATAGAGGCAGAATTTCAAACTACTTGTTTAAAGCAATTAAAGCTATCATGTCTAAATAAGGATATTCACACTTACCCTTTCAATGGATGGTGATAGTTTTGCCAGTTGGTGATGTTGATGTATTTTATTATTTCTGGATCAGCCACTAACAATCGACATTCACCATAAAGATGATAAAATCTTATAAACTTAGAATCTGCTGCTTTCATCCATCTAAAACATTACAATCTAAAACTTTAAAGGGATTGTAAAGAGGTTTTCTACATTTTTAAGCCTCAAATTAAATCAGTCTTATTAAAATCAGACCTAACTTCCATTCGTGTTTTATTAGTTTCATTTTCGAATATATTTTATTAGCTATTAGCTTTATAGGTAACCACCACACTGTCCTTCTTGACTTTTCATTCTGCTAACCTTTGCTTGACCTCTGTTTTAACCAATAACGTGGCTGCTCTTTCCAGCGACGGGATAATGTGACACAATCAATAGGTGCCTTCCGAGGCGTTTTAGAAAAGAAACGAATAAAATACGAACGGAAGTTACGTCTAATTTTAATTAGAATGCAAATTACACCAATCCAATTTTCAATCAGAAGTCTGTGTTTTCTGCAATTCCACTTAAAGTAAGTGTTTTAAGATGTCATTAATCATATGTTTATCACAATGTTTACGATTAGAGACTGCATCAAACATTTAGTTTTAGTGGAATTGCAGGAACCACAGACCTCTGATTGAAAATCGGAATGGTGCAAATTGTTACTATCAGTGTTGCCGAAATAGATAAAACATTTTAGATAACTTCTTTACAATCTCTTTCATATTACTAGAAGTTTAGGGTAAAAGATTTTTATTAAGAGTAAGTGTTAAAAGGCTGGTATGAAAAATCTTATTTACTCCAATGTATTGGTCATAGCCTCTTTCTTCAAGGCAGAAAACATATTACCAACTAATGGTATGTAGGGAGGACCTGGTAACTGAAATAAACAAGTTCCATATAAATACTATATAATAGTCGGTTAGAGTTTTGGTTCATTTCCTAACGCAATTTGCTTGCTTTCAATGAGCAATGTTGGCTGTGGGTCCCGATCTCGATTATAACTTTAATCAGCTCCATATTGTCTGATAGCATTTGAGATTTTGTATTAATTTGTTGAATGGCAAAATCTCAACTGCTTCATCAAATTTTAGCTACCTGATGCCCCTCCCCCTCATTGCCAACCTGGTGTCTTTTTTACTTATGTGGAAAATTCAGATTCAGAGTCAGACATGCAATTTTCACCAAGTTACCTTTCTGAGTGGTGAAAAATATGGTTTGATAAGAATTTGATATGTCCACCAAGATAATACAGGTATACTGGTATATAAAGCTATATCTTTCCATGTTAACCTTGTATTTAAATGATGGTAGAGGTTTATTATCTCCTTCCAACTTTCTTCAATTACTACAATAAATAGACATAAATAAAAATAGACATAAATAGACATAAATAAATAGAGAAATAAATAGACATAAATAAATGGAGAACTAAATAGTCTACATAAATAAATAGACATAAATAGACATAAATAATAGACCTAAATAAATAGAGAAATAAATAGACATAAATCAATAGACATAAATCAATAGAGAAATAAAAAGACATAAATAAATAGCGAAATATATACACATAAATAAATAGATATAAACAAATAGACATAAATAAATAGAGAACAAAATAGACATAAATAAATAGATATAAACAAACAGATATAAATAAATAGAGAAATAAATAGAGAACTAAAAAGACATAATAAATATACATAAATAAATAGAGAAATAAATAGATATAAATACTGTAATAAACTCCAAAATGTTTAAATGAACTAATAATCCAGCATTATGAAAAATATTTCAGAAAGATGTTTCATCTGCACTGCTAAACTGGTTTCTTAACAATTCATGCAAAATTTAGAAAAACCTCTTCACAATGCCTTCAGTTCAGACATATCTCAGACATGCTATCATAGTGTTTGGTAGAGTTCAATCCCTTGAATACAAATCCTTTCAAAGTTCATTCCTACATTGAATTAAGATTAAGACTGCAATTTACCTTCCATTGTAGTATATAAATTCACTTATTATTCAAATCTTCTTACATTAGTTTGATATATCAACTTTCATCTTAAACACAACCTGCAAAAAAATAGGCTGAAAAATGATAATGTAACATAATCCTCCTATGACAGTGGCCTGTGTGACTTAATAAAAAGTAGCCTATTATACTAGTAGAAGGCTACTAATCTATTTTGTCCTAAAAAAAAAATATCTCTTAATCAATTCTTTGAGTATCAATAACACTTAAAGGGACATTCTGCTTTTTTTGTAGGTCAGAATTTTTTTTTGTTCAAATTTGTGAAAACTATAAACCAAATTCTATAGAAATGTATCCCATAACGTATCAGAAAGTTTTAAATAAAAAATCCAGCCGTTTAAGTATTAAACACCAAAACTTTACGCAATTAAATGTTATGTAACCTTTTAAAGTTCGTTATGCTTTTTGGAAGATGTTAGAAAACTACTGTACAGATTTCAACTAAATATAACAAGCCATATTCACCGAAACTAGGTCAAACTGCTTAATTAACAATTAGTACTCTCATTTTTTAATTAATCATTTTAAAACAAATTGAGTTTGATCAAGTAGATACATAGATAGAAATAGCATACTTTAGAAATATTTTCAGGTATAATTTACGACCTACATCCTAACAAGAAGATATCTAAATACATAATGTATTCAGTTTATGACCCTAGCCTATCTCAATCTGGGACTGATAAAGTTTATACCAGTTATATAGCCTACCATATAATCATTACAACAATCCCCCCAAAATTTAAAAAAAAAAACCTTTGGTTGAAAACCCCTGGACTAGAGTTTCAGTTAAACAATTCTAAACTTGATAAGCACATGAGAGAGGTGAGCACATACTCTGTACTCTGTATTATAAAAAGCTCAAATAAATTACATTGCTTAGGCCTACTATCCTCACTCTAAATAGTATGTTGCTTAACACGAACGGCGCCCAGCAAAACAAACTTGACCACAACTACAAAACTTCGTGAAAGTTAAGAAGCGTGTTCCACAACGTCGGTAGGGTATAATTTTAGAATAAAATGATATTTTTAGCCCATGTATTACCTTTCGGTTAGCTGACGTATGTGAGGCAAGCTTGCAATTTCGCTCACAAGAATCGGGAAATAGATCAGAGTGAGTTCAACATGGCATGGCAACCTTCGTTTTATCAATTGTGCTGATCGAGATTTGAATCAACGTTAGTCCGAAAATTTCTTCTTGGTATCCCCTTAAAGTATATATTATAGAATTAATATCCCGGAGGTTTTACTGAGTATAAGTAAGAAATGTTTAGATAACTAAGCTGTTTACTTGACTATAGCTGTGTATTTGCTTTGTCAGATGATAGTGTTCAGTTCTATTCCATCCTGTAATACTTTACAGAAGTAAAATCTGATGTCTGATTTTACTACAATTCAATTAAATTATACCACATTGATTCAGACTGACATCTCTGCGTTATTAATCTTTTTGGCATGATAACCATATAAGCCTTTTTCAGATTTTATTTCTGAATGGAAAGCTTACTATGAGTTGAGCTGATATGATGCAAACAGTCATTGATATATTAAGATGTGTGTCTGAAGGGCCTACCCCTTTAAAAGAACAATGGTCAGGAATTTATGTTGATTTTTTCAGAATCTTGAAACATGGATGAAAAAAAGGGACCATTATCATGGACAGAGAGTAAGTGTTTTCGATTTCATGCATGTCTAGATAAAATCACTAAATCAAAGTGTTTGATGACATCACTAATCCCAAAATATGATTTTATCACATAACGTCTTCAAACACTTTATTTTAGTGGACTTGCGCAGGAACCACAAATGTCTGATTGAAAATTGGAATGGTGCAAATTGATGCTATCAATGTCTCTGATACACATAAAAATTGAGATAATCTCTTTACAATCCCTTTAACAAATTCAAATTCACGAACCACAATGGTTAGAGAATGATTCATTCTTTTTTTTACATTAACCCTTTGAACCCTGATTATACCCTGAAATATAACGTCCTAATACCCTGAACTCCAAGTAATGAAGAGTAAAAGCGTATGACTATGACGTTATCATTGTATGACGTCACTTAGCAACGGCTCAGGTATATATTGCATTCCGGCTGAAAGGGTTGAAAGGGTTAAATTTATTTAGCATATTATGCCTTTTATTTTGTCATCAACTCTGTTAATCTTAAACTTTTAGAGAAAGCCTTAAAAAGAAAGAGATTAGATGCCAAAAAGGAGAAAAGCTCGGAAAAGAAGCCTAAAGAAGATAAAAATGGTGTAGACACTGAAGAGGAAAGTGCTAGACTGTTAGACAAAGAACAACAAATATCATCTGTAAAAACTGGTATATATTTTATAAGACACGTTTCTCTAAAATTCTCTAAAAATGCCAAGTGATTTTCAGTTTCCAGATATCTTGAGGTACAAAACTCCTATATAGGTACAGGTTCACCATCGGTTTAATCAATCGTACCTTATTCTCACAAATGAGAATTTTTTTAGCTGAGCTTATCAGTAATAGTGTTCACAGTTCACTTCTAGTTTGAGGCATTTTTGAAGGAATTACACGAATTTCATACTTTCTAGTATTCTGAAGTCTATTTACATATATTCAAGACCTAAATCAATACCTGAAAATGGCAAAATATGGCTGAAATCCATATAAGGCTCTAAGAATCAGTCAACATTTTGTCTTTTACTTTTCTTTATTTTCTACAGTAAGCTGATACCAAAAATCTTTTTGTGAACTAAAGTGTGGTATTTTGGACCTTCTCTGATCACAACCATAGGCCTATTGGGAATTATTTTTGGTGTAGTACTGGTGTACTGGTTTTCATATCAGCACTGGTCTCTAGCTTTAACCATTGTTTTACAGATAAAGGAAGACATTATACTGTTTCTATGGCATTGCCAGGATCCATATTAGAAAATGCACAGTCCAGAGAACTCAGATCTTATCTAGCTGGCCAGGTGAGGACAATAAAATATCAGTATGCATCAATATAAAAATGAAATGAAGTGTGCAATGAAGGAAATTTTGTCAAGACAGCAGCATTAACAT